TAGACAGTACACTTTCGTAGAAGAGCTCACCTACAGTTACGATCATAAATAGTTCTTCCAAACCATCTTACTGGAATGTATTAGAGTACCGGTAGTGGTAACCCTGAAGAAATTAAACAAAGTAGGAGCAAGATTTTCCTGCGTCAAACTTCTCTGCAAGAAAAATCCTAAATAAAATTGACATGCTGCAGTAAAAACCTCATAAAATGTTGTCATCAGCGTGTGAACTTGTCCAAAATCATGGCATAAATAATTCATCTATTCTATGGCTTTTAAGTTTCTTCCACACAATTTCCTTGTGTCAGTTATTCGTATATTGATTCATTTTCAAGATAATATTTAACTAATCACTCGAGTCTATAATACAATAAAGTCTCGTACTCTCGAGTCCTTGGATTTAAGTCGCGTCTCAGGGTGTAAACTTGTAGATTCGACTGAGGTAACAGACTTCCTTTAATCTACAGTGCTGCCAAATCATTATAGAGGAAAAGCATTTCCCTAGCGTGTGAACAAGCTGCTGTACGAAAAAACCGAGTATGTGCTAGGGCTGCCTAGTTTTTCTCCCCAGGCTCCTTTCAACTCGTGTCACTCATATTGCGCTTTCAATTTTCCTGAACGTTGCCCAGAGTGAGTCTGTTTGCCTTTCCTAGTGTAGTTTAAGAGTTTAAAATGTTGGAGGAAGTCTTGTATCTGGGAGATCATCTGATTCAACGTCACCCAAGAGACTGTCAGAAATTTTCCCTCTCAAACGACCAGTATGCTGCAAGAAGGAAGACGAGTATTTAGTACATTCTGAACCGAGAATTTGAAACGTAAAACTGAGTGTCGAATGTAGTCCGGGATTCCTTTATTTTTGCTTTACCCCTCTCTGTGATTGGTCCCGAAAACTCACGCCATTCTCTCAATCAATCAGACGCAAAACGCATACCAATCGAGGTCACCCGCGTTTTCCCGCGCTTTTGGTAGTTTGTTTTTGTTATGAGTGCTCATTGGCTAATAATGATGTAACCATTAATATGATTGGCTGCAGTGATAAGATTGGTCAGGGTTTCTGACAGTCAATTGAAAACTGCTTCTATTGCCCCTTTTTATGTTGTTGTTGTTGTTTTGGTTTATGTTATCTTTTACTGTCCTTTTGAAACAAATATTTCGCGGCATCCTTCAAGCTCAGGGCAGTTATGTGACACATGTCCTTCACTGAGAAGTTAGAATCATAATTCATCTCGAATCTGAAGGACGAAATGACTTGGGCAAACAATATCGCTCATTAAGTACTTACAGTTTTTGGTCTTTGAATTTTGGGAGGCGGCGAATATGAACTACTCACTGTAACATCAAAAAAAATGGTGAATTAGATAAAATTAATAAATTCAGAAGACACATCTGCATACTAGAGGTAGAATATTGCTTTTCTCATCTTCACTTAACTGTCAAAAAGAAAAAGAAAAAATGAAAAAAAAAAGAAAAAAAAATCATCAAATATTGCTGAGACCATATTTAACTCACCAGGGTCCGGTGTAGTGGCTTGTCTCTGTGGAAATACCACAGGGGGTGGCCAAAACCCTCCTCCAGCTACCGGCTGCACCACATTGACAGGCTTAGATGGACGGGTAGATGGAACAAACAGCGGAGACGCGGCGTAGGTGTCCGGCACCGTCCGGTACGAGGACAGGGGGCGTTTGTCTGTGCGGGATGCAGATCTAGAACCTGTAAAAGTGACAAAGATAGTAATTCTTTCGATGATTTTGGCGCAGTTACTATATCAGCACCAAGAATTTTCAATTTTATCCGACTTATCCTTTGGTCTTTGGTTTTGCACCAGAGTGACTCACATCGCCAGAGCTGTTGCCAGAACAAATGCGCAGATAATTCGTTCCTTGCTGCGGGAATCATCTTTGTTCACTGGTGGCGCTTCGCCTCCTTCAAGAAGTAGGAGACTGATAAAATCTTGTTCAAGGGGTTGAAACCAATTTACAGACTGAAGTACGTTTACTAAAAAGTGGATCAGGTACATGTAGCAAAGTGGCACCGTTTTATGTAACGAGCTGAGCCCCAAACTTTCAATGACATCGAGAGTTTTGAAAACGATTTTGGAAGTCTAACTCATGTGCTTAAAAACTGATCAAGACATTTACTTCAATTAAATATAGAATACGGGGGCTACCGATTCGTTATGGAGAGAGTCATGAAAATAGCAACACCATTGGCAACACTGACTTCTTTTTTAACTCGAAAATTTTTGTGCCATAAAGCTTACCTGCTCCAGAGCCTGGCCTCGAAAAGCCGCTGGTCAGATGTTGCTCGTATTCATAAATCTGAAAGGAAGGGAAAAGAGTTATGGAGATCTGCAAAAACAACAACCAGTTTACAATGCCAGGTCATACAATAAAGAAAACAAAAAACACACGACAAACCTGTCTCTGTAGATCTTCAACGCGTTCAAAAGCGCCAAGTTTCAAGTTTCTTTCATGGTCCAATTGCTGCATCATTTGCTTTAGGGCCTGAGAAGGAAAAAAAAATTACATGTATTCCACGAAATGAAAATAGAGGGCAGAAGTAATTTGCGAACATTAAAACAACAACGGGCCCGTATTTAATGAGGTTAGGGCACGATTTTCATCAATTAGACACGACTTTACTTCCAAAGTTGGCTAGCCAATCAGATTAACGCGAAGTTGTAGCCGATCAAAAGTAAGTTAAGTATATAAATAAATTAATATAAATGGTAAAATAAATGATAAGGATGACGATGACGATAACAATGGCGATGATGGAAACGATGATGATAGCACTTTCTTGCTGGTGTAGACTGAGCACAGTCGAAGCAAGCTCATGTTACTCGGAGGAGGTACATAACGACTAGAGAATGGGAGATGGAGTAAAATTGTGACTGTATCTTTATTTCATTATTTATTCCAGCAAGCTGCCGACAGATTGCAGCTTCCTCTTTTGCGTTCACTGCATCCTCATTTTCGCTCGTATTACGTTCGGGAAAAAGATGTCAAAGCAATTGCCAAAATTGTTTTGTCAGTGTTGTGATTAATATCACTGCCACTGGCCATCACTCCAGGACCACTAGGAAGGAGGGCATTCAGAATCAAAATACCTTCTTGGATTGTTCTTGCGCGAAAAGATTTCTTCGCTGATCTCTATCCAAGTTTTCTATGAGAAAAAAAAAAAAAAAAAACATAAACAAAAACAAACGCAACAATAAAAAAGAAACTCGATAAGCATTTTTTAATTGAAAAAGAAATGAAATGAAGTGAAATTAATAGAAGCGAAATGTGATGAAATAAAATGAATCCGTCGACAATGATATGACAGCCAACTTACGAGTAAGAAGACGAAGCTGCAGTTCCTTCTCTTCCAGATCTGCTATCTAGAAACAGAAAGAGAATTCCAATAACCTGTTGAAATACTCGCATGAAAATCGTATTGAGTCCAAATATAAGTTGTATACATGCAACAAGAAAAACTCTTATAAATATCTTCACTCCGTGTAATGATAAAAATTGCGTAAGTTACGCTTATCATTGCGCGAAACTTGAGACAAACTTTTGTTTATAAAATGGAATAATTCTTTCAAAAACCGGATGATCAATACACTCACTAGTTTATCGATGTTCGTCGACTTGGCGAGCTCCAGTTGTCTCATACTGTGCGCTTCTTGCATCTGAGCATGCATCTTTTGCAGCTTGGTCTTTTGCTTAAAACACGAAACATATAAACAATTTAAAACCACCCAAGTTAAAATCAAGTCAGGTCAACTCAACTCAGAATTAAAGTTGTTACAGCTAATTGAGGAGATTCAGTATTGTGATAATTTTAATTCCCAAAATATGATTCCTAATTCCTTTTTCAGGCCGCAACCAGCTATGTATTTGGTAAGCAAGTTAGAGAATAATGTGCATTAGTATGAGACCACCTCGCCTTATCAAAATGATCACATTTTTGCTGGCTAAAAATTACGAAGTCGAGTTACTGGCTAATGTTTCTGAGACTAAAAGACTTCATTTATACGCTAAAGCACAGTTCTTTTCAATTTTTTTATATATCTTTTTTGTACGAAAACCAGAAACTCATTCAAGCCATTCTTGTCAATTCCTACCTCGTATTGTAGCTTTTTACGCAGTTTCTGGCACTCTCGCTCCACCTCTGATAGAGCCTGTACAAAAAAAAAAAAATCAATACTGATGATGATAATGACAATAAAAACAGTACATAGTAATTATAATGGAAATAGTCTGCCAAGGGGCTGTTCACCTTCAAATTCAAATTCGTCTTCAAAGACGATTGCTGTTTGATTTATTCACCTTGGATCTAAACATTATTCACCAGAAAAAAGGTAAAATCTATATTTTTAAAGTAACTGCTGACAGTTTCCCTGTGTACGGTACTCTTTAAGACTAGATTACATACCTTTCTCAGAGCTGCTTGTTCTTGTTTAAATAGTATTTCTTTCTCTTCTGCAATCTTCTTAACTCCTAAGCACTCTCGTTTGGCTTTGTCAGCCTCATCTCGTAAACTCTCGACCTTTAAAACAAACAGACAAATCATCAACGTCAATCTAAAAAAGTGATTTTCAGCGAAGAATCGAAAAACTAGAACCAAAGTAAACGTCTTTATGCAAAGCAACAACGGTCTTTGGTAAAAATATCCCTGGCCGATCACAACCAAGTTGATGGGTGTGGCGAATAGTGTTACTTAGATTTCATCCCCCGACATTTTTCAGACTTTTCTTTGAGACTTCTCCGGTACCCCCTAAAGGTAGTTTCGCTTTTTTTCAATCATCAATTCCTCAGTAGATCGAACCACTCACACTTATTTGCTTGCTCCCTTGGAAATTCTTCCTCAACAAGCTGCAAGCAATTCTCTCTCTTTCCTTTTTTTTTTTTCATAAATACGTCACCCTTGGAAAACTAGATTTTCTACGAAGCAACCTTTTTTTTTAGCTTCACGCGGCTTTAACTAAAAAAAAAAAGAAAAGTCACCCCAATTTTTGATCACTGACTTGCAGTCAGCACATCTAGATTCAAGTTTCTGCGAAGTTTAAAAAAATCCTGCACACTTGGCTTAGAGCTAGCTAATGAACTAAAAGGAAAATGGAATTCTTACCGAGTCGTGATACCGGATAAAGAGACGTGTTCGCTTCCAGTTATTCATTGTCTTTATCTTTAGGAACTGGAAAAAAAGAAACAAGAGACAGGAACAAGTTCAATACTCTTCTACCAAAACTGCTTCGGATTGGTCAAAAAAGTTGTGTATTTAAAATAAAGAACAGGAAAAAAAATATATGGACGTTTCTAGAACAAAACAGAACCTTTACTGTCCAACATTTCCTTACAGCTCCATCCTACCTGGACCGCCCCACCTACCTCATAGAGTACATGTACTCTATTCTTTTCTCTTACTTTTGGTATTCGACGGTAATTACTTGCTATTCTTTTATAGAAACTCTTTTACATACTTTTTATTATTGTCATTTACATTTTGTGTTTCTGTATTCTTGCTAGAATTAGTAATGACTAAGAAATAAATGGGAAAAAAAATGAAAAAAAGTACATTTGTACTCACCAGTTGTCCAAGGTATTTGTTTTCTTCTTGGAATTTTCTGATTTGTTCTGATTTGGCTAAAACTTGTTTCGAAGCAGCTTCGCTTTCCTCTGTAGAGTTATAAGGAAGAAATGTTACTTACACCTCCACTGATAAATTAATACTCCCCTAGAGGGATTTTTCGTGCCAATACTGGGTGAAATCAGTCATCTAGACATATTTGCTCTCATGCTTCCACCTCACCCAGGAGTAAGCGCAATTCACTATATGGTTAAAATAGGAGACTCGTCCTCTACCATACAGATGTACCACAAAGATAGCACATTCTTCACGTATATTTTCTAAGATGCTAGGTAACCGTGCGATCCGAAGCTTCCCCTTGGCAGTGGTACGCTCTGTAAATAACTAGACGCATACTCCTCATTTTTTTCATGTTAAGAAGGAAAACGAACCTTCTAGGAGAATGGCCGAAATCAAAATAGCTCGATGACGTTTGAGATATTTAGGGAAATTTATTCAAAGGCTCAGATCCACGCCAAGGAACCTGGAGTTGATATCGGGTTTGCGAAAAACGAATCTTGACCTAAAGAGAATCGATTGTGTTTGCGTTAGTAAACAAGTCTAAGTGCCGAACAAGACCTTTTAATGTTCCAGACTTCTCTCTAAGTTTTTTCATGTCTTCCACGGCTTTACGACGCACGTCGCTCAGTCCCTCATGAACATCATCGTGTAGAAATAATCTGGTAGGAATGGAAACGAGAATTATATCATGTAACATGCCAAACACAGAAGTTCGTGTTTGGAAACTGGAAAATGAAAATCGTCAAGATCTATGTTAATCGAGACCAATTTCTTTACAATGATCACATTTCTGACTTTCTTAGGTTACATTTTATTAATTAACCGTAACTGCGGGGACCTGTGTCACCTTCCCCTCTCCTCGATTTTTATATTTGTAGCTAGAGCTTCCCCCGTCGCCCTTCCCTTCGCCACCAATCAAGAATGAATTTGAAACACAAGAACGACGTCTGCTAAAGGCTAGGTTACCTAGTCACAAGGGTGAGTCGTTGAACACAACGAATCCTTTCATCAGGCTTAGTTTCGAATGGCACATCTCAACAAAAGCATTATGACTATCTTACCTGAATTCCTCGAAACTGTTTTTCATCGAAAAGCAGTTGGAAAATAGTTCCTGAACTAGAAATGCAAAGTCGCTCTTGATTCGCTCTCGGAGTTCCTTTTCCTAAAATGTACGAGAGGATACGAATAAGTGAGATGATATTCACTACCTAGGGGGAACGAAATTCTTTCTTACCTGATTCATGAGGGACTCTCTCATCTCGGCAATCTTCGCTCGGAGAGCAGTGATCTCTGTCGAGAGAAATGTAAAAAGACCAAACATTGAAAAATACTTTCCCAAAATAACAAACGAGACGGAAGCAAACAGGCAAATAAACTACTGGTTGAAAACAGCTACAACTTTATTTCGCGAGGTTGGCCGGCACACTTTTTTTCATGCCCGAATTGTTCCGTATCCTCATATTTCCAGATAATCCTCACCGTCGACTAAAGAATGTATTAATTTACGACATAAAATCTAAACTGTATTTACTCGTCTTTACATTAGTGGTTTCGACTCTATGTATCGGATTGTTTCAAAAGTCCGGCAAAGTTCCAAGGATACCGATTGTTTCCCGAGGAATACGTACCGAGCAGTTGTTCATGGCTTCGGTCCGCTAATTGACAGTGAACATCCACGATGGTAGCAGAGCTGTTAGCTTCAATTGTATCTTGATGCTGCTTTATCTCCTGCAGAGTGTTAAACGAAATTCATTCTGTTCAACGACATTTTGCTAAAGATATTAATTGGTAAGAGACCTTATCTCTTGTTATCGCAGCAATCCACTACAGTTTCGATAATTTTGAGCTGGAATCTCGTGGCTAACATAGGACTTAGCGATAGATTTCACTCGTCTTGTTACGAGTACAGGGCTAGGGAAAAAACTGCGAGCACCCACGAGGAATCGAACCGGAGACCTTCAGATTCCAGATCGCGCGCTCTGATGCTCTTGTAATTGGAACTTGTTGAAAAGTTGGTCAGACGCTAAATATGCTGCCTAACAAATTGAAGTCCATGTCTCTTAGGGTATACGAGTGCTCTTTATAAACGTAGAATGGGTTTTCTATTGTGCCAAACCGCACTCTATTCTTTGATATTCTTGAGAAACCCTTCGAAATATCTACCCATACAGAATACATGAAGTCGTGACGTAAAAGCATGATTGCTATCCTACACTTTAACGATTCTTTTTCAGATATCATCACGCCAGATGTATCTGTTCTAATAAATTCTCTGAAGGTTGAACTATTTTCAATGTGAATATTGTCTTCTTTTTTGAATCATAGCAAGATTAGCAACTGGTAAAGTGAAAGAAAACTGATGACCTAAAATGTTGATATTCAACCTACCTGCTCCTTCATGTACAACAACTGATGCTGATGACGGAGGAGGTTCTCATAGTACATGGCGTAGCTGGAGTAAGCACAAGCGAAAGTTAGTCCAAATGAACGTACCAAAGATTGTTTAATATTAATCGAAGTTGAGCGCGCTTTTCGAATGAGTGTCTCAAAACCGATTCTAAAGTAATCACAATGTCAATATCACAAACCGCAAATGGGAGCGCAAGGAGAACTCAGGTCAAGGATAGGAAACTGAGAGTTACCAAGTCACCGTACATTGTTTTTAGTTCTGCGAAAGAAAAGTTGAAACTTTGGCGCGAATTTCTTGACCAAATCACTGAGCAAAGACAAGCAAAAACAATGCCATCCTTGAGTACTTTTGACACTCAATTGAAGATTGCACTTTTTTTTTCCGAGTCACCGGAGGTAAGTTTCGCGGTTTGATACTTTCTGCTAGGAATTGACTGCGTCTCTGAAAGAAATGCATTAATTCGAAAATCTATGGCGACCACGACGTTACCTTGCGGCGACTAAATTGCGGAATTCTTGACCAAACGTGTTATTAGATTTTGGCAAATAATCTCAAGATAAGAAATTTACGTTTTCAAAGTTACTGCCTAACCTATTTAAAAAAATTTCATATTCATTTCGCAGATCTAAGTCTGAAATATTGCTCTTAACTTCCAGTAACCAAACTGCCAAATTTTCTACTCTTCTCTTCCAAAATTTTAAAATACATGATGTACGCCTGACAACTACCCAACTCTAATCTAAAATGACTCCTTTCTAACCTGTATTCTACATGAACAAACTTGCCAAGTTTAGTTGTTTTCTGTCGATTCACCTCAACTAATCTGACCTTTCAAACAGTTGATCACACCCTATGTCTTCCTGTCTAAAGAACACAAGAACAAATAAAATGATTATCTCTTCATAGAGAGCTCTTCCAGGCAAATCGTTATTTTCAGTGCTGTCAGGGATATGACAGAGCACGTGGTTTATCTGGGGACTAGATTAGAAATCTGAAGTAAGCGTGGTCAAATCCTCCACTTTGTTACCGGGTAACACCTGGTTTGCCATCCACCCATTGATAATTTTTTTTTTAACAATTTACGTTAGTTGTTTTTGTACTTATAGTGTCCCCAATTAGCACATAACTGCTTAAAACATATTTCCTGTTAATCTCTTATAGGGGCATTTGTTTGTAGTTACTTAGATTATCTCTTTGTCTTAAAGCGTAGGATTTTACCTCTCGAAACAGTTCCTTTCCCTCAGCATTGTCTCAGAGGCTAGCTTTACTAAACATTTGTCTAAATGGTCCTTAAAAGCAAAAAAAATAAACAAAAAAAAATGTAAGCAAGTATTGGAATAATATAGCTTAATCGCAGCAAAAATGGAGAAACGCAGGGCCTCATAAAAAGATGTTGTAGAGTTCAAAGAGACGACAATGAGTTTGAAAAGAGAAGCGCGAGAGAATGAACAGGCGGATAAAATTCTTCACATCACCATCAGAATCAACATTACTCAGAAGTAGTTTCCCTTCTTCTCAAAGAAGAGACGAAACTATAAGGTTATCGTGGGAAAGAAAGTGGAGGGAAACTAACCCGTAACCCCTTTACTAGGAGTGACTAACATCTAATTTCTCCTCACCTTATCACCATCGAATCAAACATTAAGGTCACGAGAATAAAGGAACTGATCACCAACTAAAGAAGCTCGTGATCATTAAACAAATTTTCCTTTTATTACCTCAGAAAATGTATAGAGAAGAGTATGGAGAATATCTATATTGATGTTGGGCTGTAAAAGGTGATCATCCCAGTAGACCAGTCCTCTTAAGGAGGTTTATGAAGTTCAGCACTTCCCTACCAAAGAGTCAACGCCTCTCCTAATGGATTAAAGGTGTCTATACACACAAAAAACCCTTCATACCCTTGTAAAGGAAACATTTTCGTCCTTCTCCGTGTGCTCTGACATTAGATCCTGGATGAAATTCTCCACCAGATGAGGCTTAGCGATGGTGCAATTTTCTTTCATGACCTGTAACATAAAATAACATAAATTTGGCAATTAGCCACTTTAGTTTAACTGTCTCTACAGCATCACCGTTTACCCAACTTAATGAGAAAATTAAGCATAATCATACAACTAACCACTAAAAGAAGCGTAGAACATATTCTAAGCCAAGACAAGTGGTGAACACAGGGAATTATTAACTTACCGGTCTCTTCCACAGATCAGTCGGCAGTGTTGCGTCATCTCTACCTCTCTCAGACACGACCAACGTGTGCTCACGGGATATCCTCCTGATGACGTCATAAATCATGGTGCACTCTAAGTTCTCCAGTAAACGAATGAGCTGCAAAAGGGGCCAAAAAGAAAAAATCCTCAATGAAACACAATAATAGCGACAAACGGTTAACCGTTATTCTTAGAGTAACCTTCAAGGAATTTTTGTTATAAAGTTTCAACATATTTCACTTTGTAGGTCTGAGGCAGTCTGGATCAGTTCCAACAAAAATCAAGACAAACCTGTTTGACTTTCAGCTCCATCTCTGTTGCACCAGGGGGAGAGGACAAAGGTTCATCGTCGTTCACCAGCGCACCGAGGGCGGCGTACTCTTGGCCCTGTTGGTGGAAGGTTGAGATAACAATTCAATAGAAAAAAAAAATAAACAATGCACTAATTTGTGGCAAAAGACGATAACGTCTTCCTTCTTTGTTAGGTTTAGGGTCAATATTTGAAGACTAATATTTCTAATCCTACCTGGCCCATTTTAACAGCAACTTGTTGGTACACTGGCTGCAGGATTTCGATCTTATACACTTTGCTGAAAAATGACGAGAAACGCTAATTTAGCTCAGGTTCGCAATAGGGCCGTGTAACACCAGTAACAAAACTTCTCAAGTTTACTGCGGTTTTAGAGGCAGGAGGCATAGCAGTTAACTATTACGCAACATATAGAAGCCGCTTTTTTCACTGAGCGACTGGAACACAGGAGGAAGTGTGGCCGAGTTGCTAGGACACTGAACATGTAATCTAGTGGTCCCGGGTCCAATACCCTCCACACCGCTACGCACTGGATTTGTTCTTGGTTCTCCCAAGTTCAACTCCTTTGCTGCATTTTGTGTGTAGTCAACTTGCCTGCCTCTTGCAAGTTGGGATTTTAAACAGTATTCACTACTCAATTCGAATCAGCCCTAAAAGCTTCATTAGGGGAGCGGTCAATTCAGTGCACCCACATACATACAAACATACATAAATATTTACAACGCATTAACATCAGTTGATCTGAAACACGTTTTAGTGAAAGGAAATAAACAGATATAGATGGCTTACCACATGGTTCTGTAGAGCCTAGAAGTCGCTATCTCGTTGACTCCAAGCTTCCGACATCCCCAGTCAGTTTTTAGAAGTTCCAAACGGGAACACACCAACAGAAACAAATTTATCAGTTTCACGGCTGCTTGGGGATTGGTGCTGAATGATACCACTCCCTTGGGGATGTCTCCATAGGGACCAGTCTCTACAGGAACAGAGGTTTTGCCACCTTCATCTTCATTACTGTCTTGCTTGTCGCCATGACGGCTCGGAGGTCTTCGGGAAGTGCTCGTGCTCGGTCTAGAACGCTGCCCTGTGGAGCCGGAGGCTGCCAAATCGTCTGGTTGTTGTGAAAATAATTCAGGAAGGCCATTTTGAAGAACATCTTCCAGAAGCAGGGATACGCCAAGGATTTCACCATTGACGACATGTCTGCGTCACAGGAAACCAAATCGTTATTATGCTATAAATCTTAGAGTCAAAGAGTGATTGTTTTCTACTGAAACAGTTTGCCACATGGGCGGGTTTTAATTGTCGCCTTAATGTTGGGAGAAATAAGTGAATAGCCTTTGCGAATTTGGAAAAGCTAACGTTCCATAAGAGCACAGAGGAAGATAATGGTTTCTTATGTACTTCATATCATGGGAACAAAGCTTCGAATCCCTTTTGAATCATATTTGCCAAATGGGTGAAATTTACGGATCCATTTTGTTAATATTAAAATAATTAGGCACAGAATATGGTATTTTGGGTAATTCTAATTCAATATTTTGTTGATTTAGGGCTTCAAGCTTCCAAATGCTAAAGCAAAAGGAATTCATTTGCCAAATCATGACCATACACTTAACAAGGATGACTTTCAGAAATCACTGTTTTTTCAAAATACTACCTTTCATAAGAAATGACATGCGACCTCCCAGAGACAATCTGCATTTACAACTTATAACTAGGGACTTTAAGAAAACCACGACGGCGAAGGCAATGAGATCGTTGCAAAAAAAAAAAAAAAGATCTAATCAGAAGAACAATAGCGAAAAACGTGCGTTTTAAATATTTGTACATTTCTTAGCCATCCCATACAGATCTAAAACGTAAAATCGCCAACTTAGGCCCCGTCCACACGTA